GAAGTGGCAAGGGGAAGCAGGGGGAAGGACGATACAAAAACGGTGGAATTAGGGAATACATTTTTATCCAATTGTAGACGAAAATTTGCATACGCTGAGGAAATTACGACACTCAATTTGCGTCAATATTGGTTTTACTTATGAACAAGGAATAGGTTGGAGCGAGGGAATTATCAGGGGGAAAGTGCCAAGCTGTTACGACTATATAGCACTGGGAAGTCAGGATAAGGATTTGGGATGGGACGGAGGGGTGGAATGGTGCCCATACACTTTGGACGGTCGGGGATTGAACGCCGACCTGCATAAAGCGAGCCCGTCGCTCTATCGTCCAGTCCAACTGGTTGAATGCGATGCTTCGACCTGGGTAAACTCTAGAGCCACGGAAGTGACCTACCCCCTGGACCACGTGAATAATGTGAATTCAGAGTGAGAGACAGAGAGAGCGCCAGAGCACGTGTCACAAGATACACAGGAGTACATACATACAAGTACGTACAAATATGTACATAGGTATATATATATATAACATTATGTATACTGTAGCAGAAAGTATAAGAGTTAAACTCGTTACCGAAAAGATGAGAGAAGAGATGAAGTTATACAGGTTGAGATCTCAAAACATATAACTGACTATTGTATACAGACATCTTGAAACATTAAATTTACGAAACCTCTACATCTTGCCTTAATCGAGACTTCCTTAGAGTTCAGATTTATTAAATAGTTTGCTAACGTTGAACCTTCAGATCCTAATGTTATAGTTCAAAACAATATGTTAAGTGCTTCGGAGTTCATATAAGCTGTTTAATAAATGTAAATAAAGTCGCCATGATTGAGGAAAGATGCAATGGTTTCGCAATTGGCTGCCATTGGGCAGCGTCACTCATCCTATGAGTGAACATACCCCCATAGTGACAGTATTGAGCAGCGTCACTCATCCTGTGAGTGGACACACCGCCATAGTGACAGTATTGGGCAGCGTCACTCATCCTGTGAGTGAACACACCGCCATAGTGACAGTATTTTGAAACCAATCTTCACCACTATAGAACACCTGAATAAAAAGCTCCTACACATTCAACAGGCAGTATGTCTGGAGACTGCTACACTAACTAGGGGTATACATTATCTTTCCATTCTTTTCCACAAGTCTACCCTCGCTGCCAGGCCTGGACGAGTTCATCTGTGATATAAACCTTGGACTTGCCAGAAGAGCGATGGTATCGTACACTCTACTCTTTGAAAGCATCCCATACGAGGGCGATATAAAAAATAGAGCTCATCGTTGCCCAACTCCTGGCAAGGGGAAGTGGGAAACTTGTATGGGAAAGTTATAGACATAGATCTCACCCCAAGGTACGAGGATACCACAAGAACTATGATAGCAGCCAAGAGATCCGTTCCTGGCAAGCGAGCCATAGATTTGACAACTTCGTATCGAAGTTGGACGATGCTGGACGATAGCCAGTATATCCAACGTGATAACAAGCAACGTGGAAGGCAGCCCTGACCAGAACCAGGAAACTAGACCACTGCCACAACCAGCAGCCAACAAGGCCTAGATCAGTGCTCTTGCAGGTAGACGAAACAGAAGGAACAGACCGCAGCAGCAACTACCGCAGCGACAAGGAGGGCCCGGCCAATTACAACGACTGGAACAACCAGTGAAGACACAATAGAAGTCGCTCAGATAGCAGGCCAGGAACGAGCAGAGGAAGGTCACATATCAGACCGAAGTGGAACCAACAGGAGAATAACTACGATAGATATGGTAACAGTAATAACTGTAATTTTCCCCAGAATCTGGAGAACAACAGAGCATGCGGCGTCTTTGATGAATGGTCTTTGAAAAAATCCGCGGGTTTGAAAACAGGCATAAATTGTTTGTAGAGTTTACCTGGAACCCCTGGGTAATAAGAAGCATTTTTCCTGAATTTTTCTATAACATTTTCTTACTTGTTTTCTCCCATAAGAACTCTTAACAAACTTCTAAGATCTCAGAAATAATTTTTCTCATAAGAAATCTTTAATTCCAAATCTGTGACTGGCCAAATTCACCTGGAACCCCTGGCGTCTCACAGAAGATTTTTTTCTCCTCAAAAAAATCGTCTGTGAGATGCACTCCCTACTACTGCTGTGAGGCACTATGTGGCTCTGTGGCACTATGTGGCACTGTGACACTATATGAGCAAATGAAGGGTGATAAAGATATGTTGAGTTGATAGTTGCAATGGCAACGTTCTCATAAAGGTAACAGATAAGATGTGTAATGAATATCTAGTGTGATAGAGAAGTAAAATGTTCGGGTCTTGAAACCAGGCCACAGGCGGGGGGGGGGGGGGCAGGGGGTCTAGATCTGGCCAGCAAGCAGGGGGGTCTGACTCAGGCCAGTAAGCAGGGGGAGGGCTGAATCTGGCCAGCAAGCATTGGGGGCTGAATCTAGCCAGAAAGCAGAAGGGGGGGGGGACTAAATCTGGCCAGCAAGCCACAATTGCTGGCTTGCAATCGTGGGAGATTGATTCCCCCCACGAAATCAAATATTAAAGGCACGTTTCGGGGGGGGGGGGAGCTGAATCTGGCCTGCAAGCAGGGGAGGGGGGCTGAATCTGGCCTGCAAGCAGGGGAGGGGGGCTGAATCTGGGCAGCAGGCGTGGGGGTGGGGTGCTAAACCCGTCAGGATAACAGGTTCTGGATACCACTATAGTATCCATCGCCAGGATACAATAATTATAATAATTATAAGTCGTTACAGCGAGGATATATAGTTTATCTAGAAATAACAGGTTTCGTAAAATTTCATTATTATTTGTAAACAAATTGTATAAGTAATTCCAAAGTATTTAATTAGCTGTTGCTACTATTAACGCATCACAATGCGTCACAACGCATCAGCTGAACCTCACGTCCCTGGAAAACAGAAGAGTAAGGGGAGGCGTGATAACCACCTACAAAATTCTCGGGGGAATTGACAGGGTTATCTTCAGATGATTTCGGGGCTTTTTTAGTGTCCCCGCGGCCCAGTCCTTGACCAGGCCTCCACCCCCAGGAAGCAGCCCGTGACAGCTGACTAACACCCAGGTACCTATTTTACTGCTAGGTAACAGGGGCATAGGGTGAAAGAAACTCTGCCCATTGTTTCTCGCCGACGCCCGGGATCGTCCCCGGGACCACAGGATCACAAGTCCAGCGTGCTGTCCACTCGGCTCCTGGGTGGACAAAGACGAACTCTTTAGCACGGCCCGGACGCGAACAAGGGGACACAGGTGGAAACTGAGTACCCAAATGAACCACAGAGACGTTAGAATTTTTTTCAGTGACAGTAGTTAACAAGTGGAATGCCTTAGGCAGTGATGTGGTGGAGACTGACTCCATACACAGTTTCAAATGTAGGTATGATAGAGCCCAATAGGCTCAGGAATCTGTACACCAGTTGATTGACGCTTGAGAGGCGGGACCAAAGAGCCAGAGCTCAACCCCCGCAAGTACAACTAGGTAATTACAATATTGCAATCTCGGGCAGCCTGCAACACGCAGCAGCAACTTTACTGTAGCAAATTAAGCCAAATAACTTTATTATTAACTCTTGAAAGCAAACATTTTTTTTGTAAAGGAAAGCCTCTGACCACGAATGCAAATACTGTTTACTTTTTTGGTTGTTTTTATTGCATCAGGTTTCGGACATTATTCTTGTTTTGCATTCGCTTGTTTATTTCTGTTTGCCTGTCTTCGGAATCTATTTTTTTGTGTGTGTTAACAAGTGTTCTGGTTGATGGGGTTCTGGGAGTTCTTCTACTCCCCAAGCCCGGCCCGAGGCCAGGCTCGTTCATCCGTCTGTCCGTCTGTTTCTGTCAGTATATGTGTGCTTGTGTTCAACAATCATCCTTGCACCGGTGCTTGGCAAACACGCAGTTCAGCAACGAATGCAAGTGAGATTAAAACTGGTAGGAGTGCCATTGGCCTCACCTGGCACTGGGGGCCGAGCTTCCACGCTAGTGACGGATCTTAAGAGCCCCGGGGTGAGTGGGGGGGGAAGAAGGGGGGGGGGGCAGTTTCCAGGTTTTGGAACTGGGAGGTTAGAGGCCCCAGGGGACGCTGTTTACAGTTTGTGGACTGGAAGGTTACGTGCCCCGGGAAATGAGGTTTCCAGGGGCCAGATTGATGAAGCAGTTACGCAAGTACTTACAAACCTGTACATCTTTCCTCAATCTTTGACGGCTTTGATTACATTTATTAAACAGTTTACACGCATGAAAACTTGCCAATCGACTGTTATTATTGGTATAAACAGCCTCCTGGTGCTTCGGAGTTCATTAACTGTTTAATAATTGTAAACAAAGCCGTCCAAGATTGAGAAAAGATGTATAGGTTCGTAAGTGCTTGCGTAACTGCTTCGTGAATCTGGCCCCAGGTTAGGACCTGAAAGATTAAGGGGCCCCTGGAGCCGTGTTTTCAGGTTTGGGACATGAAGGATAAGGGTCTCATGAAGCTGTGTTTCCAAGCTAGATCTCTTGAGGGTTAAGAGACCCAGGGTGAGCTATTGTGTGTGGCAGGAATATTAAAGAGTCTGCTGGGGAATTGTTTGTTTTATAAGAATCTAGAATGTTAATTGACCCTACAGGTGCGTTGAGGTCAAATTCTAGATGGTTAAGGGACCAAGGGGGTGAATTGCCTTGTTCATGTGTATTATATCCCAGCAAACAACGTAACAACAACGGAAAGTTTTACGGTGCATTTTTGCAACGTTTTAGTTATGTTGTGTGTTTACGTGTGTGTGTTTGCTCGGGAATAATTCCCATCTCGGGTGAAAAACTGTCAGATGTGTACACCTGACAGTGTTTGCCCCAAGAATTTCACACACACACATAACATTACCCCGGGGGGGGGGGGGGGGGGGGGGGGGGGGGGGGGGGGGGGGGGGGGGGGGGGGGGGGGGGGCCAGTAAACATAAAGTATTTTCAGGAATATTTTAATTATCGTTTCTACTTTTTTTCCATTTTTAGGTTCTCTGGATTTATGGTTCATGAGGCCATTCAATCAGGTATGTTAATATGAGGTTCTTTTCTTGTTGAAAGTTGGTTCTTTGAGTAGTTCTTGTTGGGAGAAAGTTCTTCTTTGAGAAGTTCTTGTTGGGAGAAAGTTCTTCTTTGAGAAGTTCTTGTTGGGAGAAAGTTCTTCTTTGAGTAGTTCTTGTTGGGAGAAAGTTCTTCTTTGAGAAGTTCTTGTTGGGAGAAAGTTCTTCTTTGAGAACTTTAGCCCTCTTACAACGACATCTGGCCCTCTTACGACGACATCCGGCCCTCTTACGACGACATCTGGCCCTCTTACGACGACATCTGGCCCTCTTACGACGACATCCGGCCCTCTTACGACGACATCCGGCCCTCTTACGACGACATCCGGCCCTCTTACGACGACATCCGGCCCTCTTACGACGACATCCGGCCCTCTTACGACGACATCCGGCCCTCTTACGACGACATCTGGCCCTCTTACGACGACATCCGGCCCTCTTACGACGTCATCCGGCCCTCTTACGACGACATCCGGCCCTCTTACAACGACATCCGGCCCTCTTACGACGACATCCGGCCCTCTTACGACGACATCCGGCCCTCTTACGACGACATCTGACCCCCCTTACGACGACATCTGACCCCCCTTACAATGACCTTTAAGCCATAGTGAACAAACCCAAAGTCCTTTCAAAGGGGAAAACAATATTGTATGTAGCAGAACTAATAATATTATTGGTGAACATTTATAACACAAGGTTCCAATGGACTTGATTTGTAAGTCCAGGAACTTGGACTTACGAACCAGGTTCCTGCTTCGTAAGTCCAGATGTACTTACGAACGTGTACGTCTTTCCTCAATCTTTGACGGCTTTGGTTACGTTTATTGAACAGTTTACAAGCATGAAAACTTGCCAATTAACTGTTGTTATTGTTATAAACAGCCTCCTGGTGCTTCGGAACTCATAAACTGTTTAATAATTGTAAACAAAGCCGCCAAAGATTGAGAAAAGATGTACAGGTTCTTAAGTGCTTGCGTAACTGCTTCGTGAATCTGGCCCCAGATTTGGGTTGCTGGAAGTAGCGAGTTGAAGAAATAGTGTCACAGATTTGACTATAAAACTAGCCAGAATATTATTTTTAACGATTGAGTCCCTTTTCAGAGTACACAGGCCAGCTTAACAGTAGCCGAAAAGGGTAGTAAGTAGCGACAAACATAGCTGGCTTTTCATTTGGGTTTACAAGTAGCCCAATTGGGTTAAAATTTGCCCAATCTGGCAACCCTGCTTCAGACTCTTGTTGGCAAGCTTAGAGCTTTCCCTTTACTAAGCTTATCATAGGATATATATCTCTTAGATGTTTACCTTGGAATAATACATTCCCCCCTCCCACCTTGTTCAGGGGCTCGATCCCGGTTGGTATTGATGGTGATACAAGGACGACTGACGTACCACCGCGACTAGAGGTTGACTAGAGGTCGAATAAAGCGCATCTGGGGACTCTCATAGGTTCGATCCCTCATCAGGGCTCCTGTGGATTTGTTCTTCGGCGCCTTGTTCACGCCAGTGGCCGGAATTTAGGGAAAGATGAACAGGTTTCGGAATTGGGTGCACACCTGCTGGAGCAGTAGGCTCAGGGCTGGCACTGGACTCTTAGACCGTTGAGAAGCAAATTGTTCTGGTCTGTGGTGGATTAATTTTGACCAGTAATCAACCAAAGTTTCAAGCCACCCCCTCTTCCTCCCCCCCCCCTCTTCCCCCCTCCTACCCCCCCCCCCCCCCCAACCCTTTCCCCCCTCCTACCCCCCCCCCCAACCCTTTCCCCCCTCCTACCCCCCCTAACCCTTTCCCCCCTCCTACCCCCCCCTAACCCTTTCCCCCTTCCTACCCCCCTAACCACCACCCCCCTCACCGGGTCAAGTGTGGGGGAAAAAAAAAACGTTTAGGCAGCAATAAATTTTCGTTACTTAGGCTAATCGCACGAAAATTGACTGTTGCTGACGTTTATCTTTCGTTTATTAAACGTAAATAACGTTGAATCCTACGTTCATTAAACGTTAAACATTAGTAACGTTGGTCAAATATTTTTAATGTAGATTAAACAGTATTAAAGTTAACGAAAGGTTATTAACATTGATCCAGCGTTAACTAAACGTTAGTAACCTTGACCCTACGTTTATTGAACGTTAGTAACCTTGACCCTACGTTTATTAAACGTTGCCCGAGCAGGTATTGCTCACTGGTGGGCAGTTATTTCGTATGACAGCTGGTCGTCATTTAGAACTGTAACCTGTCACTCACAAAGCAACTGTCACCTGTCAATCCTTCACAAACAACCGTCCTCAACTGTCACCTTGTCAATCACTCCACTCGAAATCGGCATTAATATCTTATTCAATTATATATTTCTACGTGGGTTAAATGCTAACAAATAGGAGAGAGGTTAAATTTAACACTTACAAACTAATCTGGGACGATTTGAGTCGTCTAGAGCATTTTGGGAAGTGTCACGACTTGATTGGACGACGACCCGACGACAGTCGTACTACCACCTTAATAAGAGAGGGTGGCGTGCGCACAGGTGAGAGCGGGATACGACTTGTTTCACACGACCAGAACACAGACACATGCACTAGCGCGCCGCACACATCGGCGTGAGGGAGGGAGCTTGGCCCTCCAGCGCGCGCACACAGACGTCCGGCCCGGCCGAGGGTCGCGCGGGTACTGAGGGGAGAGGCGCTGATGGCACACTCTTACAGCCTCCGACTCCTTGTTTTTTCTTCTCCCTATTTACTGTCTCTCTCTCTCGCCTCTCTCTCTCTCTCGCCTCTCTCTCTCGCCTCTCTCTCTCGCCTCTCTCTCTCTCGCCTCTCTCTCTCTCTCGCCTCTCTCTCTCTCGCCTCTCTCTCTCTCGCCTCTCTCTCGCCTCTCTCTCTCTCTCCTCTATCTCTCTCTCCTCTCACCTCTTTCCTCTCTCCTCTTTCCTCTCTCTCTCCTCTCCTCTCTTCTCTCCTCTCTTCTCTCTATTATTACGGAGGAGTATTAGGATAAATGTGGGAGTATTATGATGGAGTATTAGGATAAATGTGGGAGTATTATGGAGGAGTATTAGGATAAATGTGGGAGTATTATGGAGGAGTATTAGGATAAATGTGGGAGTATTATGGAGGAGTATTAGGATAAATGTGGGAGTATTATGGAGGAGTATTAGGATAAATGTGGGAGTATTATGGAGGAGTATTAGGATAAATGTGGGAGTATTATGGAGGAGTATTAGGATAAATGTGGGAGTATTATGATGGAGTATTAGGATAAATGTGGGAGTATTACATCCTGGACGCCATTTTCAGCTAACTTTAGCGTCCGATAGTGTCCGATAGTGTCCGATAGATGGACACTATTGGGGGAAAGGAGGGTGATTACTCTAGCAGTCGGTAATCCCCTGTATAGAGTAATGGTGTAATTGGATTAATAATTCTGCTAGTGATTTAAGTCTGGTTAAGGAAAGAGTAAAAATTAATCATTCTTTTGTCACGGGGTGAGGTGATTAATTGACTTCTTGTGTTGCTAAGTAACGCAATTATTTTTTGAGACAGTGAATAATGTCATATCAGTTAGTGTGTTGGAAGATAGATAGTGTTCTTTTATGGGTTTGTGTGTGTGTGTGTGTGTGTGTGTGTGTGTGTGTGTGTGTGTGTGTGTGTGGTGTGTGTGTGTGTGTGTGTGTGTGTGTGTGTGTGTGTGTGTGTGTGTGTGTGTGTGTGTGTGTGGTGTGTGTGTGTGTGTGTGTGTGTGTGTGTGTGGTGTGTGTGTGTGTGTGTGTGTGTGTGTGTGTGTGTGTGTGTGTGTGTGTGTGTTTTCCCCCCACTGCGGGGGAAAGAGAGACATTCTAACATTCTTTCCTCCCCCGCCACCTCTCCTCCCCCGCCACCTCTCCTCCCCCGCCACCTCTCCTCCCCCGCCACCTCTCCTCCCCGCCACCTCTCCTCCCCCGCCACCTCTCCTCCCCGCCACCTCTCCTCCCCCGCCACCTCTCCTCCCCGCCACCTGGAGTACCACACCATTGGCTCTGTAAAATACATGATTGATTGCGCCTTAACCAATTTACCTCCAGTCTTTAGTGGGAAAATATTTTCTCGTGTATAATGAAGCAGAATATTGCGTGTGTGGGGGGAGGAGTGGGGGGGGGTGGTTGCGTGTTGTGTTGGGGGAGGGTGTGTGTGTGTGTGTGTGTGTGTGTGTGTGTGTGTGTGTGTGTGTGTGTGTGTGTGTGCGTGTGTGTACTCACCTATATGTACTCACCTATATGTGCTTGCAGGATCGAGCATTGACTCTTGGATCCCGCCTTTCGAGCATCGGTTGTTTACAGCAATGACTCCTGTCCCATTTCCCTATCATACCTGGTTTTAAAATTATGAATAGTATTTGCTTCCACAACCTGTTCCTGAAGTGCATTCCATTTCCCCACTACTCTCACGCTAAAAGAAAACTTCCTAACATCTCTGTGACTCATCTGAGTTTCAAGCTTCCTTGTGTGTGTGTGTGTGTGTGTGTGTGTGTGTGTGTGTGTGTGTGTGTGTGTGTGTGTGTGTGTGTGTTCTCGCCTAGTTGTGCTTGCGGGGGTTGAGCTCTGGCTCTTTGGTCCCGCCAGTGTGTGTGATGTAGAAGGATGCAGGTCTGTCACGCTTTGGGCTAGCCTCACATAACTTTGCAGGGTGATTAATGTGTGGTAGGGAACTGTCACGGACGGGTCGGGCCCGGCCCATTGCACCTTGCAGGGAATGGGTGCAGGTTATTCCAGAATGTTACCTTACCTTACCTTGAGGTTACCTTGAGGTGCTTCCGGGGCTTAGCGTCCCCACGGCCCGGTCGTTTACCAGGCCTCCTGGTTGCTAGACTAGTCAACCAGGCTGTTGGACTCGGCTGCTCTCAGCCTGACGTACGAATCACAGCCTGGTTGATCCGTTCCACCGAGGTTCCAACCGTTCACTGCAATTCAGGTCGCTTACCTCCTGTGAACGAACCTA